TGTGTGTGTGTATGCGTTTGTGTGTGTATGCGTGTGTGTGTGTGTATGTGTGTCTGTATGCGTGTGTGTGTATGTGTGCCTGTGTGTGCGTACGTGCCTGTGTGTGTGTGTGTGCGTGTTTCTTGTGTAAGCTGAAAGACGCGAAAAATTATTGAAATATCTATTGCTCCAAGGGTTCAGGGGATCTCGTAGTCGAGCAGTCTCGACTAGAGCTTTCTTACTTGTTTAAATTGGGAATAAAATGAAAATTGTAATTAGAGTTCATATTAGGTTTAGAGTTCTAGCTCTTATCTCTCGAATAATAAAATGATAAAGATAATATTTAATATGATTATATAAAACTTTAATAAGGTCTTATGTATGTATATATTATATATACATATATTACTTACTTACATATTGTACTATTCTTGTTTTTCTCACTTATATAAAATATATATTTTTATCTATACATCAAAATGAACGAGGATCCAATATGGACTTCTTCTTCAACCATATTTTCTCCACCTTTAAATGAAAATAAAAATTCTAAGACATACAATCATTCACGTAGTTAAACAATTTATATATCAATATATTAGTAGTCAAAGAGTATAAGGACTGCCTCCACATTTGTAGCCATATATTTTGCACACCTACTATATAGCCATAGCCTTTCCGCTTAGCAATCAAAATCGACGTCAATTACTGCGAGCTTATCGCCGGCTCCTGCGAGTATCTGCATCTATTTGCCGTCGTTTAAAATGATAAAGCAACAGAGTGTGGTCGGACTCATTGTCGCTATGCTGCTTGACACGTTCGAGTCTCTATATCTCCCTCTCTCTCTCTCTCGCTATCTCGTTTTCTCTCCGTGTGTATTTAGCCTTTCCGGTATCCCTGAAGAGTTGTGCTTTTGGATGTACAAGTTGCTCAACTGCAGCGGCAGCCGTAGAAATAGCGAGAGTCTCAGTAGCCAGAGTCCTGCTACTTGGCTGCCAGCGAGAAGAAAACTCTAAGAGCAAACAGAATCAAAGAATGTCGCGTCGTGCTGTGAGATATCATCAAAATGAATATAAGATTATATTTACCAAGTCAGAGCGAGGCGAGGCTGTGGACCTCACTGAGCCCCACTCCCATTTGTAATGCAGCAGTTGGAGCAGCAGTTGGAGCAGCAGTTGGAGCAGCAGACGTTGCCATTATACAGCGTCAGAGTAAAGGTGAAAGATGTGCAAACAAAGACGCTGATAAAACGAAATGCCAAACGGCAATTGAAATGCATAACAAAGGCATGCACACTGGAGGATCGCAGATAGAGCGACAGACAGACAGACAGACTAAGAGAGAGAGAGAGAGATAGAGCGAGAGTGAGTGAGTGAGTGAGGGAGCGAGGGAGATGGAGCTGAGGACATGGGCTGCTTGGACAAGTGAAAGAGGGCAACGTCAACTCTTTCGAGTGGGCGACCAGAGGCGCTGCCATTTCGTCGTCTGGCTGCGCTTCTTGCAGATGCTTGCAGAATCTGCCCTAAGGGAGGGGCAGGAGCCTAAATCAAGTGTGAACAGAATACGGACAAGTTTTGGCTGCCACTTTGCGTGGCCAGCTCAAGAGAGAAAGAGAGGGAGGTACGGAGAGAGATAGAGGCTTTGAGAGGGAGAGCGGGAGGTGTAGGAGAGGTGCAAGAGTTGGGGTGGATGTAACCTAAGGCAACACTCGACGTTAAGAAGACAGCTTCGCTCTCGCTCGCTCTCGCACTCGCTCCGGCACACACCATCTCGCTCGCTCTCGCATGTGCCTTGTGTGTATATATGAAATATTTTTAGGGGCGGTCTCTGTGCTTGCTCTCGGTAAATTATTCCAATTCGACATTTTGTGTGAAATTCATAAAGCGGTTGACGTCGCTGCCGCTGCCGGCGTCGACGTTAACAGCGCAACAGTAACGTCAATGCTGCTGCTGCCGTTGCCGCTGTTGCTGTTGTTGTTGTTGTTGTTGTCCCATCCAATCTGAACGTCATTATGATGTTGGCGAACGTCCTTTTGGCTGTCCTATCGTCATACTTCCTCCCTCCCTCCTTCTGGCTGCCAGTCGTGGGCAGGCAGTCCTGTCGCGCCATCTCGCTCGCACAGCACACACATCAGCACACCAGCCAAAGACAGTGCACCGAATTTAAGGGTAGTTTTTTCCGCACCCCTCGCTGGCAGTGCGTTTGCTCAGTTAACAGGCTCGGGCTCCGAGTCACAGTGAGTCAGTGAGTCCTTGCCGTCCTGGCAGTCCTTTTCATTATTCTTAAGGCCACACGACGCTCTGTTTGCTTTCATTCCGCTTCGGTCGCTGAGTCTGTGCGGAACAGCAAACGTTCATCATCGCGTTAGTGCTAAACAAAAAAGAAGCAAAATAAACAAAAGCAGAAAAACAGCAAACGGAACGAATATATTAACTAATTGACAAGTGCACAGAGCCGTTGATAATAACTGAAAGTCTATGCGATATTTAATATTTGTGCGTGTGAAAGAATTCGATTGATTCACCTTGTGGCATTTCGAGGCAGCGCACGCAAATTGGATACGATTGGGCAGCGCCTAAATATGGTTTACTTTGTACGTATCCTAAAAATATGTAAATTTATTTTATTTCAATTAGTTAATGATAGAGAAGTGAATGTGAAGTGCAAATTAAAGGTTATGAAAATCAGGAAAATATTTGAATGTCATAACTTGACAATCGTCTAAAAATTTATGTATATTGATGCCTTAAATTATTATTTATATTCGACATACATCAATTAAAGATAATTTTGGGAAGGCATAATAAAACACTTAAATTGTGGCTTAGGCAACGGCTATGAAATTCTGCAAAACTATTTGAGTAACAAATCTTGACAATTTTCAGTTCATTGATATTGATATCTTAAATTATTATTATTAATATTTGACTACATAAATTAATCTAATCATTTTAGAGTTTTCTTTCATTCTCTGAATTATTTATGAAATATTTTGAGTATCTTCAAATATTTGTGCACCTAATATAATTTCGGAAAACTCAAATTTCATATGATTGAGCTATAAATTTAAATTATTATAAACAATTTAATTTGTAAAGTATTCCAATTTAAATTTAAATTCACATAAACAATTAATTTATTTATCAAATCAGATTAACATAATTTTTAACAAATATTTTAGCAGAACTTATCAAATTTTTCATGACCTAAGTTTTTTAAATAATTTAAAGAAAATATATTAAGAGGAAATATTGTTTATGCATTTTAAATTAATTTTATTCAATTTTATTTTTAATTTTTGTTGTATGAGTATGAAATATAAGTCAAAGCTTATATATGAAAATAATATATTAAATAATATATCTATAGTAAAGATATTATATAATATATTTATAGTAAATAACTAGATCTTCAACAGTTACATCCAACCCGTATATATTTGGGAAATATCGTAGCTCATATACAGAGTAGTAATTGGAGTACTAGAGATGTTGAAATACTTCCACAAATTTTCGCACTACAACACTGCAGATTAAGCGAGTGTCAAGAATCAATTGAGGGTTAAAGTTTCGTACGCCCTCATATGGTCAGGCCTAATAGAATTAATAGCACTTGATATAAGCACACTATATGTGTACATCTCCAGCTCCAAGAGCGGGCCAAGCTCATGCGAGCTACTTACTGAAGCGTCAAATAAAGTTAATTAAAAATGTAGTCCATGCATCGACGCCTGGCAAGGAGCGGGCACAAAGCCCAAAGACGGCAGCCAGCAGAGAAGGAGAGCGCTTGAGAGGGGGAGGGGGGAGGAGAGGCTGAGCTGAGACCAGAGGCGAGACCCGTTTCCATAACGGATGTCGCGCATTATGAACACTTGAGGAAGCAGCCGTGGAGACGGCGATTGGTAGACTTTACACTTGCAGCCAAGTGTAAACAATTTAATGAGGTGCAAATAAAAGCAGCGCAAGACCCGCGCCAAAAAATACGCCGTGAATCGTGTGTGTTATGATTGATATATGAATTTGAATTTATATATATATATATATATACACATATATTTAGCTGCATTGAGTGATGGCAATATGCTGATCCCGGAAGAGGAAGATGAACTGCAGTGCGAGCTGCGATTGTTCGTGGCTAGTCGAGCGTGGCTAAAGGCTGCACGGGTTAAGAATCAAACCCACAATCAATAACCCGCTCGGCGCTGCTATAGAATATGTTTTGCATAATTTTTGGTATATTGCTGCGGTTTTGTTTTAATTGCGACCCGCTGACTAAGCAGCCACAATGACGACTCCCCGTGTGAGCCAGTGTGTGTGTGCCAGTGTGTGTGTGAGAGAGCTTTTTGGGAGAAATGTACTTAACTTAAAATATAGAATAAAATTAGAGTCGAGTAAGTAGTGATGGGGTTAGGGCCACGCCTCAGCGTCTCCGCTGCGTTTGTTTGTATTGCCACAAATAATTTCCACTTGGCCGCACAGCAATGGGGCGTATGCTTCATATTATAATTGATAACCCGTTGCTTATTTGCATACACGTCGCTAACTGAGCCCTTTTGTTTTCTGTTCTCGATTGTTGCAGAGTCCGCGTGGCATGCAACCGTGTAGTCCATCGGGTGTTGTCGCTATGATGCCGCCATCGAAGAGTCCCATCATGGAAACCGCCGCCAGCGATGGCAACCAGACAGCTGGCAGCGACGCCAAGCGCGCGTGCCCCCTCAAGTTCTCCATTGCCAAAATCATGGAGCCGGACCACAAGCAACCAGCCCAACAGCAACAACAACAACAGCAGCAACAATTGCAGCCACAGCAACAGCAGGAGGAGCAATCGCTGCCTCTGGAAGAGGAGCAGCGCGATTCGTACGCCGACTCGGAGCGCTCCTGCAGCCCCATCGAGGTGACTGGAGACGATGAGGAGCCCGCGGCCATGACGGCCATCAATTACGACTCGGCCTTCAAGAAATACGTGCCTGGCTCCAGCTTGTGCTCCGGCCCAGCTTCGGCTGCGATCTCAGTCTCAGCCTCGGCTTCGGCCTCGGCCTCGGCCAGCGCCGTGCAACAGTTTGTGAGCACGCGGCACCAGGAGCTGCTCTCGCAGTATCCCCTGCTCTACTATGCGCCCAATCAACTGATGTGCGCCGCTGCCGCGGCTCAGTACGCCGCTCTGACCGCTCAGCAGCAGACGTTGGCCAGCGCCGCCCACATCAGCAGCTTCACGGCTTCGCTGAATGCCACGCTGCATCATTCGCAGACGCTGCGACGCAATCTGGGCCATCCGCTGGCGGCCGCCGCAGCTGCTGCTGCAGTTGCTCAGTCCGCCCAGCCGTTGGCGACGCAGCAGAGCTTGGAGAAGAGTCCGATGCGCACGCCCCATGCCACGCAGCACGCGAATCTCAAGCGCAAGCGCTCGCCGCCGGGTGAGGTGACTACGCCGCCATTGCCACTGACATTGCCAATGGCGCCGGCCGTGGCTGGGGCCGCACGCTCGGGCTCGAGGTCGCCATCGCCGCACGGCTCGCTGGAGGACAGCAGCCCGGGCTCGGCCAATGGCGGCAAGCCGAAGACGTTCTCGTGCCTGGAGTGCGGCAAGGTGTTCAATGCGCACTACAATCTGACCAGGCACATGCCGGTGCACACGGGCGCCCGCCCCTTCGTGTGCAAGGTGTGCGGCAAGGGGTTCCGGCAGGCGTCGACCTTGTGCCGGCACAAGATCATCCACACCTCCGAGAAGCCGCACAAGTGCCAGACCTGCGGCAAGGCCTTCAATCGCAGCTCCACGCTCAACACCCACGCCCGCATCCACGCCGGCTACAAGCCGTTCGTCTGCGAGTACTGCGGCAAGGGCTTCCACCAGAAGGGCAACTACAAGAACCACAAGCTGACCCACAGCGGCGAGAAGGCCTACAAGTGCAACATCTGCAACAAGGCCTTCCACCAGATCTACAATCTCACCTTCCACATGCACACACACAACGACAAAAAGCCGTACACGTGTCGCGTGTGCGCCAAGGGCTTCTGCCGCAACTTCGATCTCAAGAAGCACATGCGCAAGCTGCACGAGCTGGGCGGCGACTGCCTGGACGACGATCTGCCGCCGGCCTACGAGCGCCGCCGGGAGTACACGCGTCGCGAGCCACTCTCCAACTACAGCCAGGCCAGCCAGCTGACGCCGGACTCCTCGTCGGGCAGCTTGTCGCCGCCCATCAATGTCACCACGCCGCCCCTGTCCAGCGGCGAGGCCAGCAACTCGGCCTGGACCCGGACGCCCTACCAGGAGACAGTCACGGCCACCCACTTCCATCATCTGCAGGCGCCAGCTGTGGGTCTGCACGGCGACTACCCGGCCAGCTCGCCATTCCTGCAGCTAACGCATCCTGCACAGCATCAGCAGCAGCAGCAGCAGCACCACCAGCAGCAGCAACAACAACAACAGCAACAGCAGCAGCAGCAACGGCTGACAGCAGCTGCGCTGGAGAATGTCCCGTTCATAGCGAAGGTATTTTGACAGAGATACTATGCCGAGAACCTGGCCAGTTGCACGGCAACCTCGATGACGAAAGCCAAGTCTGGCAACGACCTGCTCATCGACTGACTGCAGTTCGTGACGGCAGCAGCCACAGCCACAGCCACAGTCACAGCCACAGCTAGAGCCACGGATGAGGCTGCTCCGGCGGAGAGCAGCGGCACGACCCTGGGCAATGCTGTGCGCGCTCTAAATGGTCTATTCTAAATGCTTAGCCTCCCACCAAATGGTTTCAACAATAACCTGTGCAATAAACATTCCAATCGAGAACCTTTTCTTCTACAGCACCTTAGGCTAACAAGAACAAGAACAAGAAAACAGGAGAACAAAACAACAGAAACAATAGCTATATATACTTCTCTCGATATATATCTATATCTATATCTATATATCTTTATATAGTATGTGTGATTTGAAGAGCAAATTAATGTCGATTTTATTTATACAACAAATTGTAAATAGTTAATTGAACTTTGCGGATACTCCGATTGTGTATCTGTCTGTCTCACTTAAGTGTACGTGTACTAAATCTAGTTAGTTCGAAATGTAACCTAGACTATTCTAAATCTAAATGTCAAAAGAAAGAGAAGAAGAACAAAAACAACAAGAATTTCATCATCATTACTAAGTATATGTATTTATATATATTTATGTATTTATGAATTGGTTGAAATGGAATCAAATTTTATCGAAATCATTGAAATTGTTTAGCAACTAAGCGAAATTATTGATAATGGTTAAGCAATAAATTCTTCAATATAAATTCGAGTATTTCAATATTTTAATGGGTGTTGATGGGCGTAAATTAATTGGACATACATACATATATGTAATTTACATGATTTTTATAAATGTTTTTCAAAACAGTGTTTCCTTTAGATCTTGGTTTACTATCTGTATACTGAAGCACATCAATCATCATCAAGCGTGCGTAGTATATAGAAAATATATTTGAACCATGAATAATTGCTAATATTATTTATCATTTATCTACTCCTCAGACATCTATTATTTTTGAGTTACGGATTTCTTATATTTTTATTATTTGACTGAATTTTTAATAAGAAGAATATAGATGAAAGTATAACTTATACAAAGTTTATTGAAGAAATATTTAGCTATAATGCAAATATCATTGAATTCATACAAAACTGAATAATGAACAGCTTTGCATATAGCATGGAAACTATTTGACAAAGAGGATTGGAATGTAATTCTCTGGAATTTATAGTTTAGATGATGATCAAAATATTTTTATAAAAATAATTTGTAATTTTACACCTCTCTCACAACTCTCAGACTCTCTTTGAATACACATTGAATGGCTTCCGTTGTGCTAGAGATCTGTCTGCACTCAGGCTTGGTCGACAAACGCGCGTGCATTTAGGAAATGCAAATGAAATGCTTGGCCCTTTTTAATGAAAACAATTAATGCTGCATTTGCTGAAGAGGCGTCTTAATGGCTGCCGTCAAATCGGCGCGGCACACGTTGGGTTCTCGCAATTTAATTAAAGGTGAGTTGCCTGGCCACTCCAGCTTGACACGCCCACCACCCACATCATATTTGCATTTCACTTTGATCTCGAGCAGGCAGGATTCTGTCTGGAGCCTCAAGTCGCACTATGATACTAGCTCTTGACTTGGATGCTCATAGAAATGCAACCGAGCTGCTTATGTGGAGCAACAACAAATGGCTGAGGATTTCTCTTCCTGTGGACAAGAATGTAATCAGTAAAAATTGTAAAATGTATAAAATATAATGCTTAAAAGTTATGCTGAAAAGATTCTAACTAATTAATAAGCTCATAAACAAAAAGTATAATATAAATATTAATAAAAGCAATATGATAAATGAAATTATGAATGAGTAAATGACATATAGACATATAGACGAGACATATAGAGTAGTTGACAACTTTTAACTTAAGTGTTCATTGCTGTTTGGTGTTTGTGAAAGTCTTTCTGAACTGAACCTTCTGAAAATTCAATAATTAATTTAATAATAATATAAATAAATAATTAATTTGCTTAATCTTACGACTTAGATGTCAATGTGTTGATTCTTGTGAAGAGTAATCAGATTTGATCAAATCAATATCAATATCAATTTCCTTAAGTTCCATTGTCAGCTATAAAAGACATCATAAGAGTGACATCAACAACAACAACAACAACAAACAGAGCAATTAATATTAATATATATATGTTCATATGTTGATTATAATTTATTCATTTCAAAGATCTCTTGATCTACTCTTAATGCTACCTCTCTCCCTCGGTCTTTACAGTTGCTGCATGTGCTGCTGCCACTTCAGTTGACATATCACACACAGTTGTTGTTGTTGTTGCAATCCTCTGTGGGTCGACCCTCAATGCAATTGCTGACTGGATATGAATAATTTAAGCGAAATCAAATCAAATGGGAGCGAACGAAAAACAGCATTACTTTATGCAAATGCAGAAAAACGACTGCGAATGCTCTCTATCTGCGAGCATATGCCTAAGCAGACCGCCCACTGGCAAAAGTCCACTCATCGTTCTTCGTTTTGCCTCTTTGGCTAACAGAAWTCCACCCACCCATACACGTCTCTCTCTCTCTCTCTCTCCCTATCTCTGTCTCTTTCTCGCTCGTTCGTTGTGTGTGTGTGTGCGTGCTGTAAAGCCTTGTGCCAAAAAATATTTGAGAATGACTTTTGACACCGCCTCGCGGCATCCTTTTGAATGCCAGTTGGCTGACGATGACGATGACGATGACGACGACGATTTGTATCTGCGCCTCCGCCTTGTCGATGTCAAAGGCCAACCCCCAATGCTGACATCGATGGCCCTTAACATTTTGTCATGTTGTCCGCGCGCTGATTTGATTCCTTTTGATGTTTGCTTTATGCACGCCCAAACGACCATTCGAGTGGCATTTCGCCACAGGTCCAACCATCCAGCCATCTAACCGTCCTTTCCATCTGTTTGATCCGACCATCCGCTAGCCATCATCATTCGTCCGCAATCACACACAGACACACACACGCATACGCACTCACACAGCGACAAGCGCCTTATTTGGCTAATTGAAGTCCTTGGCTAATGCTACCCGAAAACCCACAGCTCTGTAGATCTTACTCAGATAATCTCTGAATCATAAATCCTTGACACTTCTTTGCCACGAACTGACGGCGTCATTAATTAAGCTAATTAAACCATATCTGCTCAGTTAGCTAAATAATTGATTCAGCTGAAAATAATGTCGCCAGAAGTCCAGCTTTGCACTCAGCTAAATATGTAATACTAAATCTATTTTTAGCTGGACTGCTCTGAGATTATTTGGACACTTTTTGCGCTTATTTAATTCTATTAAAGTTATCATCAAAGTTAAATACATTTATTGCTAGATTATTTGAGATTTTTGCCAAAGATCTCTGAATATATTTGTGGTTATAAAATATGATAACCTATTATGCAATGTTATTTATATTTGTAAAATTAGTTTAATTGGAAATTTTAAATTTAGGGAAGATGTTTATTTGTAAGTTGTCAAGTTAATGAAATTAATTTTAAATTATATAATTATAATTTATTTTCTTTTATTAAGTTGGAAATTTAACAGTTGATCCATTTTTTGCATTTGTGAACTACATTATTTTTAATTATTTTATTCTATTATAATTTTGTTTTGCAGCTAAATTTTCTATGCTATTCAGGCTAAAGAGACAAGAGTTTGGTTGCATAATTATAATAGAATTTTCTTTCTTCTGATAATCACTAAAATGGATATTAAAGGAGTTAAGACAGTTTGTTTTTCATCGCTTAAATATATATTGTGTTTAAATAAATTTAATATACAATATGTTAATACTTGCCAAGGATGATAAATGAGATTCTGAAAGATCTAGTCGATCGGACACCCCAAACTAATTTGCTCGATAGTATCCACATCAATGCTTACCATAAATGGAATATATGGTGTGTAGGATTCTATTATAAAAGTTCTATGCCTGCTTCGGGATATCTCTCGACTAGATTTCTCCTTCCTTCCTGCTCCATAAGATGCTTATCAGAGGATGTTATCCAATAATATAAATATGATGATTGTTTCGCCCACTTCAATTTCTCCATATTTATTGCGACTCGAAATGCTTGTTTATTATGTCTGGCAAATTGTTTACGGCACATAAACAATTTGGAAGGCGCCATTGCTTCAATTGGCTCCATGCATACACACATATATATTAATAACTCATATCGGGCCAACAGATCTGTGACACGCCCCGCAAGGCTAAGAGAAATTGTGCACAAATTGTGTCAATACAACTCGAGCACGAAACAACGAGCCAAACAACGTGTCTCATTCAAGCGCGCTTAAGCACTTTGCCATCAACGGCAACAACAACAAATTATAATCCAATTCCATTGTTTAAGAGAAAGGAAGAGAGTGGGAGAGGGTGAGGGAGAGGGAGATGGGAAATTCATCACCTACAAGCCACAGTGAGGGGGCCAACTGGATGCTGGCTGGGACAATGCGAGATGAGACTGAAATGCTCAAGTGTTCGGCGCATTCGGGTGTAAATTGCAGCATAATCTCTTCCGGATATGATTACGGTCTTAAGTGATCCAAGTGAGACAGCTGGACGAGCCACACGAAGAGCGACAGAGCGGGGCAGAGGCGGGTCAGAGGCGGGCCAGACCCGGGGCTGGGGTGAGGTCACATTGTCATCTTTGGCTAAATGCTGTGACCTATCAGCTTTGTATCTTTATCCTTATCAGCGCGAGTGCAATATGTTGTGATTACAATTTTCATCGTAAAAAGCTAAAGCTGCATTTTCTCATCTTGCCGTTGCACAAGGGCTGTTTTGTTTGTTTTCTTGGGCCCAAGTGCTCGGTACTCGGTGCTCTTAGCTGTTAGCTCATAGCTCTTAGCTCTTGTGTCTCGCGCTACGATTATGGGCATTCAGCAAGTAGTGTGGGCGTATCTCTTGCCACACTCAAAAAAAGAAAAAAAAGAAGGAAACAAGAAAACACTTAGTGCTGCACGAGCGTGGAGCATTGTCAACAGCATGTTGGTATTGTTTTTAATTGTGCCGTTAATTGTCGAGGTGACGACCCATACGCCGCCCCTAGATTCTGCTGCTCACCTATGAGTCGACCCTTGCTTGGGCGGGGGCGAGTGTATTAATGCTTAGCAACTATTAAATGTGACCATGTCACTGCATTGAGCACTAACACGACTCTTCCTCCCAGTTGAATCTGAATGGCACTACTATAAATACTCAGTCCGACTGGCGAATACTCTGCACACAATAAAGATACAGACCTGACCTGTATTCCATATTGAGTTCAGCTAAAGTGAACTGATTAGAAAAGTATTTACATTTTCTACTTGGAATTTACTTAGACGAAATTTATTTATGATTTACAGAAATAATATGCAATTAAGACTAACTTAAGAATTAAGCTATGGCAACTACTAAAGTATTCACAGCTCACCTTCTGTCTCCATTCAAGCTGCCTCAGATTCGCATTCACCTGCGCAGTGTTGTCCTGCTCTCTACAACAACACTTTCAACACTTTCCTTAGTGAGTTTCTCGCGTTTTCCAACTCAATTTCCCTTCGCAGTAGCCACAGACACACTTTACTAAACAGCTTTGTTTTTGCATATTGGCTCCAATATATTCTTAACTCTACCCCTATAATCATTTAAATGAATTTGCTGCTCTTGCTCATCTTTCGACAAATGACAAATATTAATAGTTCATAATACTAATGCTAATAATAATAATGATAAGCCCAATAAAATCGGCATAATGCTAAAAATGCTGCTGTGGCAGCCACGCCCCACAAAGAGGGCGCCTTGTATACATAAAAGCCTTTACACTAAATCAAACTATATACTAACTATATCTCCGTTTGCTTCTACAGACTCCAACTTCAGCTCTCAGTCCTTATTACTTTTATCTACTAATT